TTCTTACTTCATGTAAACGACGCATTACAATTTATAGTTACGACTTTCTTCCATTTTACGTAATATAATAAAATAAAATTTCTCGTCAAATTGAAAACAAAAAATCGGAACAACAGATCTCTAACAGAACTGTCAAATCTTTATTTCTAGTTCTCTTCAAAAGAGTTTCATACCTGGGTATCAATCATGAAACTTCTTTTCTAGGATGAAAAGTGAAAAATTTTTCCATTAACTCCAATGATTAAAATTTTCACTTTTCACTTTTCATCCTAGGGATAAAGTTCCATGGTTGATACCCAGGATTTTAACGCTAGTAGTTAAAACATTTTTGACACGGAGTCTGCCGGATTTGTATTCTGACATTATACATTCACTTTCTCCTTTCTAACATCTTCTGTCCTTTTCCTCCTATTTTTCCTTTTTCCGTTTATCGATAATGTTTTTCTGTTTGACATTTCGTTGTGTGACATCGTTTAAGTCAGATGCTCGTTACTTTTGCGAATTTGCTTTAATAACCTATTAAATTAAAAAGACTATTTTACTGTACCACAAAATGGACCACATTTTACATTTTTTTCTCGTTGTGTATTATGGGACTTTTAACAGATTTACTAAGGCATATCATCATATTTTTAATTTTTATATGATTAATATTAATTCTTTTTGTATACGGTTACTTTTCCAGAACTTTCTTATGACTTTGTTAATTCTTGATAAAAATGACTCACAACGTATTACACCGAAAGAGGAAAGAATTATTTGTTAATTTTAAGAATATTGTAAGATTATGTATTAATTTTTAATTTAGAACGACATTTATATTATTGTATGATGGCATTGAAAATGACTCAATTGGAGTTGAAACGTTTGTTTCATTTTATTGTATTTTAATTGTTTTTGTATTAAGTTTTCTTATCTGAATTATAATTTTTTATTTGCGTCATTGGCTCTTTGCCCTTCTTTTATACTACCTTTTGCTTAAAACATTTTGTATAATAGAGCGCCACGGATAGAGCGTAAAGAGCCAAGAACCGTTCTCGTTCCAGCACCGCGGCGGCCAAAGATCAACGATCGGAACAAGCAACGGATGGGTTTTGGCGAGCAACGGTAAGCCGTGAATGACGTGAATAAAGCCCCCTACGCCTACGCCGCGGTGCCCCCGGCGTGCAGTTTCCGGACGCAGCGCGGCGGTATCTTGTCCGTCCATTAAACTTGCATCTGTATCGGTCACGAAGTTCGCCGTCGCGTCGCCGATTGGCTGCTGTATCCTCCAGCGTTGCGAATCATGGGAAAGACCGCTGATGCATGTGCAAGCACGATAATTGTTGCTCGTAATTATACACTATCGAACAATTTTCAATTTACGCGATGTAATTTAATCGCGATGAAACGCATCTCATCGAGTTACCGCTGAGAGAAGCAAATCTTACGCAGATATGCTGCGGGCAGATGTGCTGCTGAATCAGTCGAGACCTCGTGTATACGGGGTGATTTTCACATATTTCGTCACCCATCATGAGCAGGTAGGGTGAATCGAAAAACTGAGTCGAGAAGTCATCTACCATTTTGCAGTTTACGCAAATAATTAACGAGATATTAATTGCCAAATATTGGTATTGAATAATTTTTTACTCGAATACTATCAACTTTATAGAAAAACTGCAAGAGACAAAAATTATTTATTTTCTTCTCATAAAACTCTAAGAATTTTTTATCAACTTTTTAGTACTGCATTTTCTTATTTTTACCAACATGAGAAAATACAGTATTAAAAAATTCTGAAAAAATTCTCAGAAACTTTATGAGAAGAAAATAAATGATTTTTGTCTCTCGCAGTTTTTAAGTTATAAGTATAAGTATTAGATCCTTTTGTTTTCCATAATTTCATTTTTTTACCAATTCTTTGCGAGAAAGGTTTATTATTTCAGTTTTTCTCGATATTTTATTCGTAAAATAAGGATTATCTCGAGATTGTCCTGAGAATTTATAATTCAAAAAAAGCTTACTGAGGAATATATATTACATGCTTGTATTATATTATTATTGAATAATTGAGAACTCTATCTTTCTCTTCTTTATTATTGTACTGTAACTACTTAAAAAAAAGCAGGATGTGTGAAATGCCATAAAAAAATATTAGACACATAATAACTACGTACTTGGTCATTATTATCAGTTAATGTACAGCATTGCTGTACGGTATTGCGGTAGATAATCATGATAACACAGGTAACAAGCTAATACAAAATTAATTATGGCTATCGCAGTATGCACCCACGACTTGGATTTTATCTCATGTTTTTATCTGACAATGAGACATAGTTTTACAAACGGGTGGAATACAATGCTGATAGAAACCGTTATTGCACGCGAGTATCGTGAACCAATCTTGTGCATAACTCATCGGCATTGTGCGCGAGTCGCCGTGAGTTGCAGCTGCGGCGCACATCAATCGGAAGTCTAAGCCTAAAGAATCGTCCGTTTAAATTTTTAAAATGTTACGATAAGACTTCGATTCGCATAGATGTGCAAAAGAAGGAAGGGATTAAAAAGGAGTTAAAAAGGAAGAAAGGGGGGAGGAGAGAGAGAGAGAGAGAGAGAGAGAGAGAACCGATACCATCAATGATCACCTCTGTCGGCTTTCCTTGCGTTGCGTGAGGTCACAAGAAGCTACCCGCGCTTGTGGCTGCTATCATTGTCAGTCTGATCACGAACTGACCACCTCCACTCGTGATCGCGAGAGAAGCTGCTTGCGCGCTTATCTCTTGCATGATCCCGACTTGCATGAATCCCTGCTGCTACATTTTCCGCACGAATGTTTCGGGCGTTCTGCTGAATTTATTAGGTGCGCAACTAAGTTCTCGCTGTTATTTTGATGCATTTCCATCAAAATAACAGCGAGAACTTAGTTGCGCACCTAATAACTTCCGATCAACGATGTGTTAATATATTTAAATTGTTTTCCTGAACAATCCCCAGCAAAAAGATCGCAATATCCAAGCTCTGGGAACACTTCATGAAACTTTCCGATGGTACATGCATAATTGTTAATTAATTAATAAGAAATGTGATATCGAAAAATGACTTTGAGCGCTTGATATTTTTTGTCACATCTTTTTCGGCACTTGAATCTTAAATGATAAAATAATAAGCGTCCGGAAGAGAAAATGCATATGAGTTGATTTTTAAAATTGGCTCTTGCAGTTTAAGCGTATCACGCGAGTTAATTCGCATTCAATCGGACGGAAAAATCTGATTAGTCACATCGATCAGAGACAAAGTGCATATAGAACGATCGACTGGTTTTGCACGAAACAAGATCTCATTTCCAGCTGGCTGCGTAGCGGCAGAAATACAGAGAGAAAGAGAGAGACGTAAAGAAAAAAATATATAGAGAGAGAAGGAGACATGCATTGCCGGCAGCTCGCGCGCCGTACCTTTTTCCTCTCCTTCTTCGTTCCGCGCGCATGAGAGTCGCTCTCGAGGAGAGCGGTAACTTTCTAAAGATGACCAACGGTCGCCTACAGGAGACCTCGATTCCGGTCCCTCTGCAGATCGTTGCTCTTGGCCGAGTTCCACGGCGACCTCTTAATCACCGCGATCACCAATTTATCCATCGCGGGATTCTCATTCCCCGCGACTCACAATCGGAATACATCCGAGGGTATTCCAGTGAGCTAACAAGGGACCGAGAAGTCATACTTTCTAGGCGTCTTAATGAATTCCATGAAGTTGCACTGATGATCGATCACGTCCTGCGATGGTACATCACTTCCTCGATCCAGCTCAAGACCATTCGTTTGTAATTCGTTAATTGAATTGTTACCAGGAAACGTGGCGTAAATTATACTTTTTGTATCTTGCATCACATAGATATTGACAATACTCTGCGCATGCTGAGACTATGTAATTAGAAAGAATGCTAATTACGGGTATCAAACTACCCGCGCATCACACAGTTAAAAGGTGAACTTATCTGTCAATGTCTACGGTATTTCGAACGAACAATAGCGTGGATTTTCCAGCTAAATAACTTTATTCAACGAATGTTCTATACGCGTGTAACGGATCGCGTGGACTTTACGGTATTTCCGGCGCAGTTTTATGTGTCAAATTCCTACTGTATATGTAATATACGTTGGGAAAAGTGCGATAAAGATCTGCACGACAGAGAACAATTCCTCGACACTCAAGAAATACATCATCAGAAATACAAATGCGAGTTTGAAGAACCGTAAGCGAGAATAAGTCTGGGAATTTGTTTAAGATCCAACAATTATCACATTTTATTGTGGTTGTACAAAATTAAATAATTAATTAATTTAATTGACAATATTTATTAAAATTTTAGTATTGTATTGCAAAGAAAAATGCAAAAAATTGAAATATCGAATAAATCGTGTGTATTGCAATAATATATACATTTATGTAGTTTAACGCATCAAATAATTTAGAATGACATATTTTTCATTTGTTTCTCTCGGAATATTTCAACGTGTTTCGATTTTCTTTACTGATATCACAAAGAAAAATTGACATTAATCAAAAAAATTCCGCAAAGCTTAAGAATTTCTATGAAACTTTTCATAAAGTCTCTGAAGTGAGGCTACGTATTTGTAGGAGATCTCGTCGTTATGTACGCAATTTTCCACATGACCGTGAAAGCAGAGGCAGGAATCTCGGCATTTGCTGACTTGCGCGACAGGGTCGTCTATCAAACGTTAAACGAAGTTTATCTTCTTCCGGCGGTAATTTTTCCGAATGACACGACACAAATTCATCGTAGTTTTCTCCACAATAGCGGAGAAAAAATTACACACGTTTCGTATAAACGGGGAAAAAAAATCAAAAAGTCGACTATTGTTTTTAATCAACAAAAAAGATCTATAATACTTATTTTAATATATTCATTATTGTTATTCTATAGTCATTATGTTATTTTTAATAATTTTATCATTAGAATAATTTAACTGTTATTGAAAATTTTTATCTGTTTTCAGACGGTATCCAAACGGATTCTGAATCAAACAGTATCGTCCATTATCCAAATGTACAACGTATTTTCGTGGAAAAGGTAATTAGCACATTTATTTTTTCTTAGTGAACAATTATTTGATAATTGTTAGTATTTGGTAATAATGAATTATCTATATAAGATTATCTTAGGATGTAGATAAAATTATTAATAAGTAATTATTTGTTTCAATAAATAACAGTTTTATTTTAATTAAGAAATCGAATAAAGCATATTATATTTTCATTAATATCTCGTTTGTTTTCTTGATGTTATTTTTCTTGTCAAATTATTAAAATTGAAACCGATATTTTACAATTATTTACTATATATCACTAAACGACCTTCTTAAAAATCTATCCGTTACATATTGTATGTATTTCTTAAATCAGTAAATTATTCAAGACTTTGATCTGTTTACATTATTAATACTGTTATATTTGCACGATGTACCAGAATAAAATCGAATTAGATACGAAAAATAAAAGAGATCAAGATAATGTATGAATCGTGTTATAAAAGAATCTTCAATGATTTTCTATTGCGCTTTACTTATTAATTCGAAAACGCCAAATGCGCTGAAATGAAAGATCGGCAAATACTGATAATAGTATTCTAAATTTATTCGCATGCTTTAGTCGATCTCTCCAATGCGACACAAAAAACCAGTTACAGCTATGACAGAGACTCTCTTATTTAATAATAAGAGAAAAGAAGAAAAAAATACAAAGTCACACCTTCTTTCATCTATGATACAAAAGTAATATCCCTGCATGTCCCAGTTTTTTTCCTCATACATATGTATAGATGTAGGCGCTAATTTTTGCGACGACATACGACATCCGATATAACGTGCCGAATAAATTAACATACGATGCACGATCCGCGTAGATCGCGGAAAGAAAAAAGAAATCCCCCCCCCGATCGATGGTACTGTTAGTGATAAAAATATACACGGAAGATGCAATGCGAAAGAGAGAACGGGTCGCTTATTACCGCGCCGCTGGGTATCGCAATTCGCAACGCGGGGCAGCTGTCTAGCTCGTACTTGCACTTGCGCTTACCTTCGTTCGCCTTATGCCGAGGAATGACTTGCTAATAACACGAATCGTTATCTAACGAGAGGGAATCGGACGTTCCGCGTGGAACAATATATTCTCTCTTTCGCAGAGAACGTGCAGCCCGCCGATAATGACAGATGAGCCCGCCGAAAATGAACGGGTAAACTGGTTCGTAAATTGCACTTCGCGTCCGCAACATTCTCTGCATCCTGATTCCTCTGACACTGCGTTACTCACGGATATTCCATGTACGCTTGATTATTCCCTGACATGCTTAACTCCATTATTCTACAGATTCCAGAGGGAAATGTAGAAAACATAAATAATTTATATTTACGTATATATCATTTTAATTGACTGCAAATAAGTACAGGGTCCGGCAAAATGATCTCCCACATTTTAATCTTTAATAAAAACGCCATTGTAAATGCTATTTAGATTTTATTTTTATTAACTGAAAATTTATGCTATGCCATTTGTTTTTATTGAGTTTTGAAAATTACAGAATCCAAGTGGCGACCATTTTTTTCGATACACATTCGAAGCTGATTTCTAAAAGTTTCCATCACTCGAGCAATAATTTGGGGCGATATTCCTGTAACTTCTTGGCGTATTGCTGCTTTCAAATACCTGAAAGCGAAGGTTTTTCAACACCACCCCCGAACCATTGACGAATTGAAATTGGCAATACGCCAAGAAATTACAGGAATATCGCCTCAAATTATTGCTCGAGTGATGGAAACTTTTAGAAATCAGCTTCGAATGTGTATCGAAAAAAATGGTCGCCACTTGGACTCTATAATTTTCAAAACTCAATAAAAACAAATGGCATAGCATAAATTTTCAGTTAATAAAAATAAAATCTAAATAGCATTTACAATGGCGTTTTTATTAAAATGTTTTTATTAAAGATTAAAATGTGGGAGATCATTTTGCCGGACCCTGTGTAAAGAAAATTAAATAATTTAAATGTATCGATTCAAATCGATATACAGATTTGGTAACATATAATAATTAATGTGGCTGTACCGTTACAATTGTTTTTAGTACGAGGATGAAGAAGCGCTCGATATCGACACCCTCAACAATACCAAGAGAGCTGACCGGCAGGGTCTGTTCTTTAATCGTGTGCCGAAAGTCGGTTCACAGACCTTTATGGAGCTATTGAGGAGGCTGTCAATAAGGAATGCATTTTCGTTCAACAGGGACCGCGTGCAGCGGGTTGAGACTATACGTCTCGCGCCGATCGAGCAGGTACGACGACCTCCAACGAGAAAACCCAATCAATTATCATCAATTGCGTGATGTCAGCCTCTCGCATAGTAATTACCAGTTTAATTTACAATCCTGTCACCGTTGAGCCCTACAAGGTGATACAAAAATACGATGGTATTACCGATCCAATGACTTAAACGCTAAAACGGTTTATCACTTCCCTTTTTTTATCCGGAGTTCGTTCATCTTGATAAAATTATGTAGCTAAGAGGAAAAGAGAACGGGAAGAGATATTACTGGATAAAGTATAAAAGAAGAGATAGAAAGTGTAAGAAAGATCATAAGAATCCATGCAATTTAAGGGGACGTTTGAAGTCAACATTTGACTCTCTTTAAAAAAATCTTATTTCCCAGCTAGGGTGGGTTTATTACAGGCTTACAATAACGAAAATAATAATGAAAGATTAATTACTTTTTGCAATATCCTTCTCAAAATGCTATAGCCTGTAGTGCAGATTGTATATAATTTTCATTTAACTTTCTTTATGCTTTCAGTTACATCTCGCCAGGATGGTCAGCAGTTATTCGGAACCGTCTGTTTACGTGAAGCACGTCTGCTTTACTAACTTCACAGAGTGAGTACCACGAGATTATCCTTGGCAATTTAAATGATTGCTACTGCCATTTTCTACTTTCTTGCATCTTCTTCGGCAGATTCCATCTACCGGAGCCGATTTATATCAACATAGTACGCGATCCTGTGGAAAGGGTCATATCTTGGTATTATTACGTAAGAGCACCATGGTACTATGTGGAGAGGAAGCAGATCTTCCCGGATCTACCGTTGCCCGATCCCAATTGGCTCAAAAAGGACTTCGAGTCGTGCGTATTGAAGGGCGATCGAGAGTGCAGATATTTGCAGGGTGAGATCCACGAGGGCATCGGCGATCATCGTAGACAAACTCTCTTCTTTTGCGGACACAGTGAAAAGTGCACGTAAGAATGTTTGCAAAATATTAGGAAATTACTTTTGTATAAATAAATTAGAATCCATCGTATAAAAGTTCACGATAAACTTTAAATAACATGATGATAATGTACAGTATATATTTTTATAATTATTATGGAATGCACAAGCGATATTCTGACATACTTTTCTTTTAAAAGCCCTTTTAATACCGTTGGTGCTTTGGAGCGAGCCAAGTTGGCGGTGGAAAAGCATTACGCGGTAGTTGGCGTTTTGGAAGATATAAATACAACTCTTACGGTACTAGAAAACTACGTACCACGATTTTTCCAGGGAGCTACCGATGTTTACTATGGTAAGCCATTGATGAATTGCTCAATAAATCTTAAAATCTTTAGCTTGATCAAACATTAATTCATCAACATATCATACTTTTATATTTGCGTACTATCTTTTTATAAGCATGACTTCAAATCTTTTAAACATTATTTAAAATATATATATATATATATATATATATTGCAATTAATACACAAAAATAATCTCAAATTATGTTACAATAAATTATTAACATTATATTATTCTTACGTTATCTGAATAATTATATCTTTCAATTTTTTTAGATCAAGTAAATTCCTTTACGAGGATCAATCGAAATTTCTTTAAACCGCCAGTCAGCGAAGAAGTGAAGAACTTGGTGCGCAGCAACTTTACTCGCGAGGTCGAATTCTACCAATTCTGCAAGCAGCGACTTTATAGACAATACAGAGCTCTCAAGTTGCAATCGAATGTTCCGCAATCGTAATGTGATTTTTAAAAAGAACATCTTTTCTATCTGTTATCACATGCGAAGGCAATTATTAAATTACGTAAAAAACATTGTACGTACAAAGAACAATAGAAAAACTTTAATGCAATTGCATTTATTAATGTTAATGATTCGATAAAGATCTATTATACAAAAAATTATAATTACTTTTGATAAATAATAATAATTTATAAAAATCTCCTAAATAAATTAAATAATGCAAAAAATTCATTTTCTACAAGAATATAAGAGTTAAATAATAATCTTTAAACTAATATATTAGATCAATATATGCTCTATTTGTTCAGTCATTACAATATTATTGAGATTGAAATTTTAATAATTGCATATTTGCCAAAATCAAGAGCTCGTTATGTTTTATTGAGAATTTGATTATAATAATTATTTTACGAGTAAAAGACAAAAAAAATAAATTTTTCTTTTGATAAATGCAATGACCTTAAGTTCATGATATACTTAAAGAAATCAACAAAAAGAAATCTAAGGAAACAAAATCTCATGACATCAAATTTTTAACTACAATGATTCTATGAAAAAAAAAATTTTATGACAAAAAAAAAATAATTGATTCTTCGCGTGATTACTGTGATGATCTAGTTCCATGCTTTTAAGAAAATTTTGATAGATCTATTATAAAGAAACAAAAATCTTATGATATTATCAAATTTTTTAGTACATTGACGATCTCATGATATAAAAGACAAAGAAGATAATTTGGAAGTCATGAGAGGAAGTTTGGCGCATTTAGACAAATCTTGATAGACTTATGAGTCTAATAACAGAATTTAATATAAATACAATTAAAACAATAATTAAAGAAATAAAATATATAGTTTCCATGCATTTAGCAAAATGTTTATAAAGTTCCAAGTTCGGTAAAAAATGATCTATCGTATAAAACTTATTATAACGTGAATGTATCACGCAATAGAGACATTCAAAAATAGAAACATTCTGAGTAAGTGTCGAATGATTACTTGCGATCAGACGTTATGTGGCTACCTTTTTAATAGACGTCACCATACAAATTACATGCAAGTTCTAGGCATTTTTTATCATTATAGAGATATTTCTCGTTAATGAATAGTATTTGCAATGATTTTTTTCGCCAGCGACTTATGAACGACGCAAAGACTGATAAAACCATGATATTTTTTATTGTGGAGTGTTTGCAATTATAGAGAAAAATGTACAGGGTATTGATTATATTAGAATATATCGCTTTTGTAAAAGAAAAATACGTTTGTATCTCATTGACTTATGATTATTTGGAATAAAATGCTGCCATTTGAAAAGGAACGATCACCTTTATTCACCTTTTATTTAATTGTCTCATCGTTCAATTATTTACTAACATGCCTTTTATCAATTTATTATGCTATTCAAATTCTTCCAATTATTGATTAATAATAATAAACAAAAAAACTGATCTTTTTAATATTATATTGGGGAATATTTAAATATTTAAACAGATATTAATACATATTATTTCAATTTCTCATGTTAAACTACACGTAGCATTTATCATTTAAACGAAGAGTATATGCCAAGTCATATCCGGCGACATAATTAGAAGTTTAAGTCTATAGCGTTATTTTTATTTTGAGAATCTAAAGCAAGATTCATAAATATACACCAAACCATGACGTATGTGCGTTTATGTACTTTCTTAAATTATCGAATGAGCTAATATAAATTTTATTTAGCATTTACAATTTGAATACCTAATGTGAATTTAGTACTTAAAGTTAGACGAATTATAAATAAGACTTACAAATAGATTTTCCTAATCGTGAAACAGAAAAAACTATACGAATTTATTTTTTTATTTTTTATTTTAATAATATATAGAGAACAAATATTATACATAAATATTATATGGATATACTATATATAATATGATATATCTATATAATATATATATATATACATATATATATATATATATGGATAAAATTTGTTCATGTACAGTTTGTATATTATACAAATATATCATATATAATATGTGTATATATATCTGTATATATAGTTGCTCTTTCATAACATTCAATCTTCATTCACGCATGTCCGATTTCTACTAAAACATATTTATTAACATATTTATGTAAAATTCAGTAACAGAAAGATTTACATTAAAATTACACTTTGTTATACGTCAAAGTGCATGAAAAATTTATAATAAACATAAAATTGAATAGGTTGATCACGAAAATGTATAAGTAGGTGCATTTATACACTATTAGAGTAACCATTTCGATTGTTGTATCTCATCTTCTTTTCTTTTAATAATATAAATAATATTCGTGTTTTCGACGATACAAAAAGATTCAGTGGGTCGACTTATCCTAGTATATATATCTACATAGAAAAATATATTTGGACTACGCAATACTAATCAACATTGTCTTGGACATAGAAGTCTTGGACATAGTACTTGTGTGTGTGCGAAGAGATATAATTTAATTAGTAAAATAGTGATTTATGGCCAAAAATGTTCAGGCACATTTTCCATCGGTCCATTGATCCATACGTTTTTATCAACAACATGCACCAGGTGTGTGTTAAAAATTAGATATCTGTATGATTTTCTACATAAATTAATACTAATTATTGTTGTTCTAGAAATGTTTGGATACGGACGGACGATAATATATGGACGGTACCGATATACACTCTCTCATGTCTCATTCATATTTGAAAATATACAGAATTACACATATCAGGCTTAGAGCTGGGTTGCATATTTCGACCAATTTTGCCTACCGTCATCTTTCCTCCTTTTGTTTCATAGCATTTAGATTGCACACAAAGACATAGAACGATCGAGTTCAAGGATGATATTAGTTGTAAATTAGTATAAATCATACAGTTCACTGGGGCGACTTTGAAACATATTGTCCTACGTTCATTGTTTATAGAGTTTTATATATATATTGTTATGTACCAGAACTCGATCATTCTATTTCCGCGCGCAATCTAAGGACCATGGCACACAAAAAAACATAAACAGTAAGCGTATTGACCAATCACAGTAAAATCCGTAAGGCCAATGGAAGCAGTACCCAATTCAACATGTTGATTTCCGTACTGCTTACATCTTAGACGTGTAACACGTAATGCCTAAGGAAATATACCAATCAAAATCCTTCGTTTTCTTCCTTTCCATGAAATAAAGAACTCTGATTGGTTGAATTTTTTATGCCTTATGTGTTATACATTATACAAAAGTCTGTGCTCCACATTTTACTGCCTTAATTTTTTTTTTACTGTGCCATGGCCCTAAATGCTGTGAAACAAAAGGAGTAGGGATGACAGTAGGCAAAATCGAAATGTGCAACTCGGCTCTAGGCCTGACATATACATATAAAAATACAGTAGGAGTAATTCAATGTTATTTATATATGTATGTATATGTATATATATATACATATAATTTTCTTTCTTTTATTAATTTATTTCATTTACATTTCAATTCATTAGTTCAATTATTTAACTTTGTATATCATATTTGTCGTTAAATATGCAATTTTCAAAATTACTTGAAGATATAAAATTAAATTTCTAGAATTCCTCTAATTTTCAAAACAAAATACGCCATCGTGAATAAAAAAGAGATTCAGAAATTTTTAAATTTGAATATTCCGATATAATCAATATGTTTCTAACAATAAACCCATTGGCATAAATTCAATTGAAATTCAACTTCGTAAAAAGTTATTATTTAACAATAAAATCTTAAATTTAATTCCCGTTGAGTCAATCAAATTTTATTGAAAACTCTTGAGATTTAATTAGCTAACAGTCTGTATTCTATAACATTGTATAAAATAATTATTGTATAGTTATCAATGTCTGGCTTTCTTTTATTGATTTGTTTTCTATTATTGTTTTCTATTATTCGCAACATATTCTCAAACTTTTATCTTGATGAGTTACAAACAGTAATTTATCAAGATAATGCAACAATATTTGCAACAGGAGTGAAGCTGCCAAAAATGTTCTGATTTTTCTTCTATGTCCGAGACTGATGTCTTTAAAGTTACGAAGCGATTAAGATAACGTACATATATATAAACGGAGACTAACAAAAATAGTTTGTCTTACATTTACACCGGTTATATACCAAAACTTCCGAGTATTGTTCTTCATTTCGTCTTCTTCTAGATTTGTAGAATGTATTGTACTCTAAATAGCTTTAATCATATGTATATCACAACTGTGTTTTTCACGCATAACTTTCTCCCACGATATTCATCTCGCGCATAAACAATAAGTTCGCTTAAAAATGGCGAAAAAAATTAATACAAGTCTTGTCTAGATATAAATTAATCATGCATTTAAAATGATTAGACAACAAATTAATATATATATATTTTTTTCCATTCGTGGTTGTCACGTTGATGATTCCTTGTAGGCTTGTTATAATATTAATGTAGCTATATTGTATATGTATATGTCAAAGATATTATTATGTTATAGATATATCCCGATATAACAAGCCAATGTGACAACATTATCTCGAAATGAGAATAATCTGCGATCTAGAAAAAAAAGAAGCATTCGCACATACGTTTATACTAAATATATATATATATATATATATATATATATATATACTTTTATTTCCAAATCGCAAGTAAAGATAGCATATCTCAATTTCAAAATATATCTTGAAAAACATAAATAAAGAAAAAGATAACAATTAGTTTCATTCATGCATCAATAATCGTCTATCTTATAACTCTTTAAAATGATACGAGATAAAAATACAAAAATCCAGATAGAGTATTAATAAGATTGACTTTGTAACATCGTTGTAAGTCTGTTCATTCTTTTCTACATATTTCGCGCAGAGACAGACTATAACAAATTAATTCGGTGGTCGAAAAATATAACTTTAATAGTCCCTAATTAAACAATTATTTAATTACATTACTAATCCCGATTATATAGTATTATTGCATATTCATAACGATGAGGGTCGTTGATACCAATCGTTAGGAAAATATTATTAATTATGCTGTGATTTTTTTCGCAATTAGATTACTGGAAGTATGCTGTGTGCGATCTTC